ATGAAATGAAGCAAAATATGTATAATAGAGGTGCCAGAAGGACAACAAAAGGAGTGAGGATTAGAAAACATATTAGAAGAAATGATGACAGAAAACTTCCCTGATTCTGGGAAGAAAAAAGGCACACCAGCACAGAGTCCCAAACAAGATGACCCCAAAAGACCCACACCAAGATGTGTCATAATTACATTGGCAAACATTAATTACAAAGATATAATCTTAAAGGTTACAAGAGAGAGACAGAAAGTTATGTACAAGGGGTCTCTTATTAGTCTATCAAAAAATTTCTCAACAGAAACACATCATGACAGAAGGGAATAGAATGAAGTATACAAAGTGATGCAAAGCAAGGGACTGAATCCAAGAATACTCTATCCAGCAAAGCTCCAGCCCCCGCCCGCCCCCCAGATCACACACGGGAGTGGGCCCTGTGTCTCTGGTGGGTGGGGGAGGGCTCCAGTGCAGTGATCAGCACCGCTTGCTTTGGCCCCAGCCCCCAGGACCGACCTTTGCCCTGCTCCCTGGCTCTTGCCTGCGCCTGGGTTTCTGATCACTGTCTTCCATCCTTCCGCTTTCGGTTCTACTCTGCCTTCAGTATGCAAATTAGCTGCCATCTTTGTTAGCGGTTAACCGCCATCTTAGTTGGCAGTTAATTTGCATATCGCCCCGATTAGCCAATGGGAAGGGTAGCGGAGGTATAGCTAATTACCATGTTTCTCTTTTATTAGCTAGGATAAGTGTGAATACCACCTCCTTATTCTGTAAACCTTGCCCAGTAAGATGAGGTTGATGAAAATCACACAGTGCAGGTGTTTGTCATAAGCAGAACAAATGTCAAAGTGGATAAAGGATGCAGATAAAAAGTAATTTCATCTTCTCACCTAGAGGTCCTATGGTCACCTGAGGTGTTGATCTAGTCCAGCCGTGGGCAAACTACAGCCCACGGGCCAGATCCGGCCCATTTGAAATGAATAAAACTAAAAAAAAAAAAAAAAAAGACCATATGTAATGATGTTTACTTTGAATGTATATTAGTTCACACAAACACTCCATCCATGCTTTTGTTCCGGCCCTCCGGTCCAGTTTAAGAACCCATTGTGGCCCTCGAGTCAAAAAGTTTGCCCACCCTGCTCTAGATCAACAGGTTGAGTTTCACCTTTTCAGATCTTTATGTGGTTACTTTTAGCAGTGAACATGCAATGCTTTATTTCAAGTGGTCAGTATACTCATTTTTTTTAAATATATTTTTTTATTGATTTCAGAGAGGAAGGGACGGAGATAGAAACATCAATGATCAGCTGCCTCCTGCACACCCCACATGGGGATGAGCCGCAACCCAGGCACATGCCCTTGATTGGAATCGAACCCAGGACCTTTCAGTCCGTAGGCTGACGCTCTATCCACTAAGCCAAACCTGTTAGGGCTCAGTATATTCATTTTAATAAACATAATGATTGTTGCTGCTCTACCACTAAAACAAAAATCAACACTTAAGCAAATATTATGTGTTAGAGAATGCATGAAAACTGAAAGGAAGTGCAGTCTCAGTTTTAAAAGCATCCTAACTGGAATTTTAAATAGTATTTGATTCACCCAGAAAAGGAACTAGAAAAAAATGTCTTTAAATATCTATTACAATAGCAGCAACTACCATTTATGACACATTAGGCACTGGCATAGTAATAGGTGCTTGGTATACATTATGTCTATAATTTTACACGGCTCAGGTACCTTCTTGGGTTTTTTTTTTAAGTAATAAAGCTACCTTGGGTAGACTGCTTGATCTTGTGGAGTCGTATTTTAAAAAATAAAAAAGACCTTTGATTTTACTTTTTAACTTTTATTATGCATTACATAATATACTGCATAACCTTCTAGCAGGAGTAGATGAGCAAAGCTGAGTTATTGTTAATCAGGAAGTGCTTCCTTAATTAATATTCTCCAAACCCTGAAAAACAAATTAAAAAGAAAACTGTGAGAATTCTGTTCCCGTCAAAGATGTACATGTACTCTTATTTCTAGTGTCACCAAATGGCATTCTGTTAGTAAAGTATTTTTACATCCCACATTTCTTTCACTGCAACAATAACTTAGACTGAATTTTATAATCACTAAAGTAAGAAAGAATAACTTATAATGACTTCTAGTTTTCATTTTTTTAAAATGTTTTTACTATCGGCTGCCTCCTGCACACCCCCTACTGGGGATTAAGCCTGAAACCCAGGCACGTGCCCTGACCAGGAATCAAACCCGAGATCTCCTGGTGCATAGGTCCACGCAGCCACTGAGCCACACAAGCTGGGCTAGTTTTCCTTTTCTGACAGCAGCAAACATACCGCTTTATATGAAAAGACCTTCCCCCCGCAATCAGAACTAAAGTTAAGCCCAGTATTTACTATCTGGATCCTTCTCTAAAGCACTCTGAGAGAGTCAGAGAACACTAAGGTAAAACCGTTGTTTAAAATAATAGTCAACATGAGGAAAATGCTATTAGCCTCATTTCACTTATTTTTACAGGTGAAAAAAGGAGGAATGGCGAGGTTAAAAGTCGTTTAAGTTAGTAAGGAAGTAGCAGAGCCAGAATTCAAGTTCAAGGCCCTCCAACTCCAGAACTCTTGCCCTATATAAGCATAACATGACACTAGTTATTCAGAAGACCCACTCTATCTAAATCAGTTCACAACCAAATAGTTCAGAAATTATAGAGTAAAAGATTAGTGATTAGCATTTATGGATTATAATGAACAACATAAACTGATGAACAAAAACAGATCCAGAGACAGAAAAGCATGGATAAGACAGTCAAACCTCAGAGGGAAGGTAGGGGAGGGTAGGGGTAAGGAGGAGAGATCAACCAAAGGACTTGTATGCAGGCACATAAGCCTAACCGATAGACACAGACACCAGGGGGGTGAGGGCATGAGTGGGGTGGTGGTGGGGGCAAGGGGGGGTGAAGGACACATATGTAATACCTTAATCAATAAAGAAAAAAAAAGATTAGTGATGACATTTCTTTCAGGTATTAAAATAACACAGTCCAGGTATTTTGATTACTACTGCAGGAAGAATCACCTTAAGGTAAATTAAACTTACATAGTCCTAGGAGCCACTTTAAAGAAATCCTAATTTGTCTGGTTGGGCCAGAGGCCTAGGAGTCTGCATTGTATCTTGTATGCCAGATTACGATGGTTATTCGTGGACCACACTGAGAAATACTGTTCTACATGAGTAGATAGCTATCATCGTGTTCTTTAGACTAGAGTCTCAAATAACACTACACTGAGATAGATCACCTAATTTGAGTCCTCATAGTGATTTAACCAGTGACCCTGTGTTCTCTCATCTATGAAATGGGATTAATATTTAACTAAATTTGTTGTGAGGAATAAATGAGCAAAGGGAAAATATAAAAATGTAAAATTTTTTAAAAGAGTAATGAAGATGAACTCCTACAATATATTAGAACCATATGAAGATGCTACTAATTGGTCATATTTTGGATTTCCACTTCACTTCTTAATTAAATTTTTTTTTCAATTACAGTTTACATTCAATATTATTTTGTACTAGTTTCACAATTATGTACTTTACAAAGTGTTCCACCCTCATATTTCCAGTACCTACTTTGCACCATAGTTATTACAATATTATTGACTATCTCCCCTATGCTTCTACTTGGTCATTTTTGAACCACAAAAACAGCAATTTCATATTATTCATTCAAATAGAAAATTATAGTGAATCTTTACATTTGCATGATATTAGTGCAGGAATTTGCAAACCAATGGTGTATAGAACAGCACATTTGTGAAACAGGCCCAAGTGTATATGGAAATTTAGTTTACCAGAGTGGTATTTCAAATAAAAAATGAATTGATCTATAAATAGACTATTGTGATAACTGCCTATCTCTTGGAAAAAAAGGAAAGTTAAATTCTGCCTCCACATTATATCCCAAAATGACCTGTAGATGGGTCAAAGCTCTAAATGTAAACAAAAACAAAAAGAAAGAAAACAAAAACTGTAACAGTATTTGGAGAAATTGGAAGAATATATTTTTATAATCTTAAAAAGGAAGCCCATTTGTAAACAAGACATAAAACCCAACATTAAGAATAATAAAATACAAACTGAACATCAAACTTAAAAAACTAGTATCAGCCTCAGCCAGTTTGGCTCAATAGATAGAGCGTCGGCCCTCAGACTGAAGGGTCCCAAGCACATACTTTGGCTGCAGGCTCCATCCCCAGCCCAGGTCAGTGAGCATGCAAGAGGCAACCAATCGATGTTTCTTTCTCTCTTTCTCTCTCTCTCTCTCTCCCCCCTTCCCTTCTGCTATCTCTCAACAAAAATATATTTTAAAAACATTTATGAAAATGAGTTATGGACTATGTGTCAGTTAGGATTAGGTTTGTCTGCAACAACCAAAAATCTCCAAAAACAGTGTCTTAAACGACACAGAAGTTTCCCTCTCAGGCAAACAGAATTGAGTGTTACCTGTCCAGGGATGATATGATGGATTCATAAGATTCTCTCTCATCATTGATGTTTCTATCTCTCTCCCTCTGAAATAAAAAATATTTTTAAATAAATAAAAATATACTTTAAAAAAATATCCTTGGGTGAGGATGAACAACAAAAAACTATTATTATAAAGACAAGCAGGAAACTGGAAAAAATATTTGTACATGTAAAAAAGACAAGCTTAACATCCATAACACATAAAGAAATCCTATAAATAAAAAAGAGAACAGAGCAAGTAAAGTATATAAGCAAATAATCCACAGAACAAGAAATACAATCAGTAAATGAGTGAAAGGCTGCTCAATCTTACTAGCAGGCAAGAAAATGCAAATTCAATTAGCACTGTAAGACCTTTGGCAAAACATTCCTAGAACCCACTGCCACCCTGGCAGATGCCTAGTAGCATCAGAGCTATCTTACCTTTGACACATAGTAACGATTAACTCCAGAGACTCGCTTATCTCTTTCCATCAAAGACCAGTGATATGAATAATAGGCTACCCTTTTCTCCTATAATTAAAAAAAATAATTATTGCAATTTTAAGATGAGTGATCCAAAAGAGGAATATTAGAACTTTGGTAAGTGACATTACAGAATAATGGAATCATTACTGAAACAAAAACCAAATTAACAATATAAGACTAGAATCCTAAATGAAATCGGACCACTGTCCTGGCCGGTGTAGGTAAGTGGTTTGAGTGTGAGCTAGAGCTCCAAAAGGTCCCACATTCAATTCCCTGTCAAGGGCACAGTCAAGGGCATGTACCTGGGTTGCAGGTTCCATCCCCCACCCAATCTGGGTGCAAGTGGAAAGCAACCAATGGATGTGTCTGTTGAATTGATGTTTCTCTCTCTCTCCCTCCTCCTCCTCCCTCCCCCCTCTCTCTCCCCTCCGTTAAAAAAAAAAATCGGACCACCAAACTTTAGAATTAACATGGTAATTTACACTTTCTATTTTAACCTGGGTATTTTTTCTTTCCTCCCCGCCCCCACGCCCTCTTAACGACATAACTACTTGCTTCTTTTTGGGACCTAATGGAAAGAAAACAGCGATTTTGTGAAGGACAACCACAAAACCCCAAAGCAAACACATTTATACTCTGTACTCTAGAGATGATATAAAGGACTAGGAAGAGGGGGTAATTACAACATGGAAAAAAAAAAAACAGGATCTCGAGGTACATTCTTAAAGGCTTGCAAGAGAAAATGGGGGATAAAAAAAATGTTCAAAGTAAAAACCTCATTAAGGTTGGGGAAGAAGAATGAGAAGTTACTAAAATGTGAATACGAGGAGTTAAAATCAAAATCGAGCATGAAAGACTAGGAGTGGGGGCAAACGGAAGTGACACCTCCCTCCTCTAAGGAGTCTGGACCTAACCTCTGCTCCTCTACTTCTCCAAGCCCCAGTCTACTCGGCCCTCCTGCCCACTCTTCTCCACCCAACAACTAGCCGGGTTTTGCTCGAGTAGAATGTTGTTTCCGTCGGGCTTCGTTCCGCAAACCTCCGCTTTTAGGCAATACGAAAAAGGGAGGGGGGGGCGACCTCGGTATCCCCCTTCTCCCACGGAGGTTCCGGATGCTAATGACCTCCCCAAGCCACGGCCCCTTACGTAACGCCGGGCCGCGGCAGCCGCCTCACCTTGCCCCCGTTGCTGAACTTGTGAATGTGCGCGGTGGCGATGCCGGGGATGAGCAAGCACACGCCCATGACAGCGAGCCCGGGGAGAATCTCGAACCACATCGCGGCAAGGTTCCCAAGGCCAGAAAAATACCTCCAGCTCCCGAAAAGCGACCGACTTCGATCCTTTCCCACTGAGCCCCGCGGCTGGGCGGGGCCACGTACAGCGTCGGAAACGACGGTGGCCCGCTGGGTTCTAGAGCGGCGCACTCGCGCACCCGAGTGCTCCAGTTTCCCACGGCGCACTTGGCTCGGGCTTCTCGGCGGAGCGTGCAGTAACGCGAAGCCTCTGTTTCGGAGCACCCGGTTGCACAATGGCAGAGCAACTTTCCCCTGGAAAGGCGACGGATCAGGTGTGCACCTTCCTGTTCAAAAAGCCTGGGCGAAAGGGGCCTGTAGGCCGCAGGAAGCGCCCGATCTGCGACCCAGAGCCCGGAGATAGCAGCAGCAGCAGCAGCGACGAAGGCAGCACTGTGGTTCGCCGCGAAAAAAAGCGGGCGACCCACAATCCGATGATACAGAAGACCCGCGGCAGTGGTAAACAGAAGGTGGTTTACTGTGAATTGAGTAGCGAGGAGGAGGAGGGGGATGGGAAGGGGAATGAGGCTGAGACTCTCCGTGTGGTCTACAAGTCCACCCGCTCGGCGAAACCCGTGGGGCCAGAGGATATGGGGGCGACTGCTGTCTACGAGCTAGACACAGAAAAGGAGCGTGACGCACAAGCCATCTTTGAGCGCAGCCAGAAGATCCAGGAGGAGCTGAGAGGCAAGGAAGATGACAAGATCTATCGGGGAATCAATAACTATCAGAAATACATGAAACCCAAGGATACATCGATGGGCAATGCTTCCTCCGGAATGGTGCGGAAGGGCCCCATCCGAGCTCCCGAGCATCTACGTGCCACCGTGCGCTGGGATTACCAGCCCGACATTTGTAAGGACTATAAGGAGACTGGCTTTTGCGGCTTCGGAGACAGCTGCAAATTCCTCCATGACCGATCAGATTACAAGCATGGGTGGCAGATCGAACGTGAGCTTGATGAGGGTCGCTATGGTGTCTATGAAGATGAAAATTATGAAGTGGGAAGCGATAGTGAGGAAATACCATTCAAGTGTTTCATCTGTCGCCAGTCCTTCCAAAACCCAGTCGTCACCAAGTGCAGGCATTATTTCTGCGAGAGCTGTGCACTGCAGCATTTCCGCACGACCCCGCGCTGCTACGTCTGTGACCAGCAGACCAATGGCGTCTTCAATCCAGCGAAAGAATTGATTGCTAAACTGGATAAGCATCAGGAAGCAGAAGAGGATGGTACTTAAGATTTTCCAGAAAACCCCGATTCGGGTCCAATTCCCATTACTTAGTTTTCCCTTATTTTCCAATTTCAAAATAAATATTTTGGAAATCTTAATTTGTGTCCTTCCTTTCTAGGGAACTTGACAGAGGAAAAGGCAGGTGATGAAGTAGGTTCCTGAATAGATGGCTTGTGAAAGCATCAAGGTAAGTATAATCTATATTTTTACTTGGTATAAATGCTGCCTGTGTATAACTTTTCAGAACTCTTTGGCATAAATTACAAGGATAGGAGAAATTTGAGAAAAGAGCTCGAATTTGCTTGAAATAAACAAAACTGTGGTGAAAGGAAGAACTGAATCTATCACATTTCTGTATCACTTAATGTTTTGCAAAAGTACTTTCATGCATTATCTCTATTGGGAGCCTGTGCCATAATACACCCCAGCCAAGGTATGGGGAAGGTGAGTGGGAGAATTGGGTTGGGGGACTGACTGGTGGCTAACACCACAGAATGCCTGTATGGGAAGTGGCCCTTGCTCTCTTTGAAGCACCTACACTAACCACCCCTTCCATGGATAATTGAAATGATTTATGCTGTGCTGTCCAACATGATAGCTGCTGGCTTCATGTGGCTGTTGAGCACTTGAAATGTGGCTGGTAGCCACCATATTGGACATTGCAGTCGTAGACTGAACTTGGGAACCTGCAGAGGGCAAAAACCTAGTATTTTATAATGCATTGTCTGCAACTGCAGTCACAGACCCTGTAATATCACCCCCTATTAAAGTTAATCTAGATACCTGTCTTCCCAACTAATTTGTGAACTCCTGTAACTAGCCCAGTGCTTGACATATAATAAGTCCTTAAAAAATATACCCAGAGAGTTTTCAAGAGGGAGACTGGGGCCAAATCCTTGAACCCAAGTTGAGAAGCTTGACAATATATTCTTTCGGTAATGGGGAGATAGCAGAGTTTTGGGAAAGGGAACAAAATCAGACTTATAAAAAATTTTCTGTTGCAGACTATTAGATTGCAGGGAGAGGGAAGATAAGAGGTAGGGAGACCAGTGAGGCCAAATGATTAGTAAATTTTTACTGATCTGGCTAGAATTTGGGCTGATCCCAGGAAAGAAATGCAAGAATAAATTGTGGGTTAGGAGTTTTTTATTCACATCGTTAATTCATTTAAAGATATTCTTTGAGCAGCTATTCTATGTCAGGCATAAGGGATATTAGTAAACAATGGACACAGCCCCTGTACTCATGGATCTAGACATCAGTAGCAGGTGTGATGATACAAAAAAAAAAGTGCACTGGATTGATCTCTCAGGATAAACCCAATCCCAGCTTTGGAGGAGTTCAGAAACACAAACTCACAATGTGAAACTTTTTGTTGTTGTTGTTTATTTGCATTCCCCTAAAAAATTTAGATTCATCATGTCAACTACTGCAAAAACATGCTGGATTGGGATTGCATTGAAATAAAAAGTTGGAGTAAACAGATCTCTTATACACACATAACTGCATTCTGTTAGTAAAATTGCAATATTAACATTGGTACAATGCTGTTAAGTATTTTACAGACCTTATTCAAATTTCATCAATTGCTCTACTAATGTCCTCTTTCTGGACCACAGTGCCATTCAGGGTCATACATTGCAGTTAGTTGTGATGTCTCCTTAGTCTCTTATTCTGGAAGAACTCTCAGTCTTTCTTTTGTTATTCATTTCCTTGACATATTTAAAAAGTTATAAATAAAATAACCGGCCAGTTATTTTGTAGCTACCTCCAAATTTTGGTTTGTCTAATGTTTCCTTATTATTAAATTTAGCTTATTCATTTTTAGAAGAAAAACCATAGGAGAGATGCTGTACTCTTCTCAGTGTATTAATGTGAAACATTCTATAACAGTATATAAAACATAGTGGAGATACCTTAGATACTTGAGAAGCCTACTGGGAAAAGGGCTTAAGAAAGCATCACACAGGCCCTAGCTGGTTTGGCTCAGTGGATAGAACGTCAGCCTGGGGACTGAAGGTCCTGGTTTGATTCTGGTCCAGGGCACATGCCTGGGCTGCGGGCTCGATCCCCATTAGGGGGCATGCAGGAGGCAGCTGATCAATGATTCTCATCATTGATGTTTCTTTCTCTCTCTCCCCCTTCCTCTCTGAAATCAATAATATGTATTTTTTTAATAAAGAAAGCATCACACAGAAATAGCATTTAAGGGATGAGAGAAAGAGACTGAGCCAAATAGGAAATAAGAAGACCTTGTAGAGGGATATGGAGAAACAGGAGCAAAGGAAGAGAGTGTTTTTAAAAGGCCTTGGCTGGTTTGGCTTAGTGGATACAGCATTGGCCTGTGGCTTGAAGGATCCCGGGTTAGATTCTGGTCAAGGGCACATACCTGGGTTGCAGACTCCATCCCTGGCCCTGGTCAGTGGGCATACAGGAGACAACCAATTGATGTGTCTCTCTCACATGTTGTTTCTCTCTAAAAATCAATGGAAAAATATCCTCGGGTAAGGATTAACAAAAGTATCATAGAGGGGTGGGAGAGGTAGAAGAGAGTAAAGGGGAGATAGATGGTGATGGAAGGAGATTTGACATGGGGTGGTAACACCCAATACAATATTCAAATGTATTATAGAATTGTATACCCAAAACCTATATAAGTTTATTAACCAATGTCACCCCAATAAATTCTATTTAAAAAAGGTATGGCAAGAAATATGGCAATGACTAACAAAATAATCATTAAAATGGTTAATTTTAGCCGAAACCGGTTTGGCTCAGTGGATAGAGCGTCGGCCTGCGGACTGAAAGGTCCCAGGCTTGATTCCAGTGAAGGGCGGGTACCTGGGTTGCGGGCCCATCCCCAGAGGGGG